TAACCACCTGGCCATGCCGGGCCTCTAAACTATAAATTAAAGCTCATTTATTGTTCCATTTCGACGTGTAAAAATCCTAATTTATTGTCCCATTTCGACGTGTAAAAATCCTAATTTATTGTCCCATTTCGACGTGTAAAAATCCTAATTTATTGTTCCATTTCGACGTGTAAAAATCCTAATTTATTGTCCCATTTCGACGTGTAAAAATCCTAATTTATTGTTCCATTTCGACGTGTAAAAATCCTAATTTATTGTCCCATTTCGACGTGTAAAAATCCTAATTTATTGTCCCATTTCGACGTGTAAAAATCCTAATTTATTGTTCCATTTCGACGTGTAAAAATCCTAGCAAATACTCAATATTTTATAAAAAACAACAGAAGATAAATTAATTATTACCGTGGGTTGGCTCAGTAGTAAGCGCAAAGGCTTATAACGCTAAAATACGGGGTTAGATCCCTGTGATGCCCATTGTGTAACTAAGCGATTACAATAGAAGTGGGTTAAATTAATGTAACAATTTATATATATATATATATTGTACGTAATTATCATTAAAAATACGTTTTTTTTATTATCGACTGTACAAAAACAGTAAAATGTCAACCTTAATCGTTGAATATTGCGAAACACACACAGACAAATTAATTAACATCAAAATTTCGGTTTTATTACAAGTGTTTTGCCGCAAATTAAAGCACCGGATCTCGTGTCGGTTTTATCATTACGTCACGTCAGGAGTGAACACATGTTCGTTCATCCTTAGCAGCTTCGTTCAGTTCTTATTTAATGTTTAGATTGAGGTTGTTTGGTTTTACGACAGACTGTTTCCTGGCGTTCCACTGTCTCCTGACAAGTATTTCACATTTCTCATAAGATACTGTTTTGAATAAGTAGGTTTCGCTGTTGCGTCGCCACATTATATTTATTATTAAGTTTTCTATGAAATCCCTTTATGGTCCATTTATTACGTGCTGGCGACGACTCGAGCAACACGTACAGGCAGTTTCTAACGGAGGACCTCAATGATTTCTCTGATAAAGTTGCAAAGTTAAACTGCTCGAAGGAGAACCATAATTATCTGTTAAGATGCATAAGTTAGTTTTGTGTTTGTTGTTCATTCTATATTTATGAGCGTCCTTTTCCGTTTCGTCTCAGTGACGTTAAATTCCAAGTTATTGCAAATTTAATGTTGTTGTTGTTGTTTTTTTGAGCAAAGCAACACAATAGGCTCTTCTCTGTGCCGAATTTTAGTGTTGTATGTGCGTAAAGTTATCGTCAATCCATCGGGGTGAGGGGGGACTGCAACTTTAACCACCACGAGTATCAGAAATGTCTAAGAAAAAATACAATTTTAGAATACAGAACAATTATTTTAAGTATTTCCTTTTCTTTTATAAACACCAGTATAACAAATGGACATACCGCCTCACATTTTTATTTATGGGGGATGGCACCCCCTCACATTTTCAGTTATGGGGGATTGTACCCCTCACATTTCAACAATAATAACATATTTTTCGTTATTTACATTTCAGAACCAGAACATAGCAGAAATCGTGTATTTGCTTTTGTTGTACGAATTTAGAACGGAAGCACTGTTCAGACTTAACTGAATGTCACATCACCCCTTTTTTCCGTTAATGGAGTATCATCCCCTCAGATTTTAACAGCAATAGTATATTTTCTTAATTACTTAGATTTTGCACCAGAACATAGCGGAAACTAACTCCAAATAAATGTTTAGACAAAGGCAACCGGATGTGTTAATACAAAGCATATAATAAATCACTTCCATTTCTGTAACCAACACAAACCCCCTCAAAAGTCCATAATGTACGATGTTAAAATGTTTGACCTTGATGTTATTTTGTAATTCAGGATTTCTGTTTAACTTAGTGATTTACTGCTTTATTAGGTTAGTGTTTGTTTGTAGTTAAGCACAAAGCTACACAAAGGGCTATCTGTGCTCTGCTCACCACGGGTATCGAAACCCGGTTTCTAGCGTTATAAGTCCGCAGACATATCACTGTGCCACTGGGGGGGGGGGGGCTTATTAGGTACCAAAAATAGTCATATTCTTTAGAGCTTAGTTTTTGAGTTTGTAAAAATTTAGCACTAACAAAGTGATATATTACGTAAAATGACGTCATTACATAACTGTTTATATATACACACACACACATAAGTGGATTTATACACCATGCCACTGTTTATATACATACATACATATATATATAAATATATACACGGTATAAGTGGATTTATACACCAGGCCACTGTTTATACACACACACACACACACATATATATAAGTGGATTTATACACCTTTCCACTGTTTATATATACACACACACACATATATAAGTGGATTTATACACCTTTCCACTGTTTATATATACACACACACATAAGTGGATTTATACACCATGCCACTGTTTATATACATAAATATAAGTGGATTTATACACCTTTCCACTGTAGTGTTCTTTTCATGATTGACGATACAAAATAATATTTTGAAATATCTTAAAGACAGGACTTGACAAAAAAAATCACAAAGGTCACATGACCCACGATGGTTTCTCTGATTCGTTATTAAGACGTTGACGTAATCGTGATGTAAAGAATGCAGACTGTGTCGATCCGAAACATTTAATATTTTGTTAACGTCTAAGTTTTGCAATAAAATTTCTATCAAACGTTTTTCTTGTTTCAATTATTCCGGGAGGCAAAGTGGAAGGAACACCAAGTTAATAAGAAAAGAAAAGCAGATTAACTTTGTTGAGTGAAATTTGAAACACCTGTCGTTAGGTTTTTCAAGCGTTGCGTTAAATTTATTGTAAATGCTTTTGTTCAGATAACCAGAAACAACAATACACACTTTCCTTTCGTGCCTATGAATATGAGAAACTTTCAGACAAGTAACGCGAGTTCTTTGTATCCAAACTTTTTATCAACAGTGAATTTAAAGATAAATCAAGATGGAAAAAACATTAGCTTACCACCAGTAGAAGAAGAACGCCACGAAGGGAACGGTAGTAGCCAAGGACAGTAGGGACCAGTCTCGAATCAACACGGCAACCACAGCAAGAAGTAATACTCCCATACTCCGGGCAGCAGTGCTTACGAACCAAATCTTCACCCGATATGGAGAACCCACAATTTCGCGAGCTACAGTCAGGTCAGAGGTGATAACAAGATTCTAACGGTTTTTTCGAAAACTTCAATGTTCTTAATCGATAAGCGATCTGTATTTTAAAAGTCGATTTAAAGAGCCACAAAAAAAAATAAAAATGCCGGCACAGAAATCAGAAATAAGTACGTTTTTTTAGGGTTAAAAAATACGCATCATTTAAATCCAATTCTGGTCTTTTGAAACAATTTTTACTTAACTTTGAACATTCTCTAAATTTTGCAAATAAACGTAAATATGGTTCGAATACATATTATAAAGACAAAATTAATTTTATTTTGTTAAGAACAAAACATTTTTAATCACTATAGGAACACTCACGACAGATGGAAGAACGTTCATACTTAAAGTTCAAATAATAAAGTTAAACTGGGTGTATCTCCGTATTAAGTTTAATAAGCTTATTTTAGAATGTCGTTAAAAGTACGATTGTTGATTTTTTATAAAAAAAAGAAACAGAATCTTCCAGAATCTTGAGAGCTATAAATAAAGTTATATTACAAAGAGATGGACATAGAGATTGGTTAAGAAAGATTATATAAAGATAAATTACTCAGTTTAATTTAAAAACAGATTGGATTGGTGTTCAGTCACCTCACATCGAGTCTAGCTACAGAAAGAGAATAAAATTATTATATATTTTTTTCATGCAACAGTTTTTTTTATATACACATCTCATGATCTTCTGACGAGCTATTTGTTACTACACACCCGATCAGACAATCCGTCGCCGAAGATAAATTGGCGGGCTTGTTCTGCGAACTTGCGTATGGGACATATAGTTTAGACGCTTAGGTACTTTGTCGAAAAAAGTAAAACTCAGAAAAATAAATGGGCCCTCGTCTCTCTTTGACTGAACGCAAAATTAACAATCGAAACTAGAATCCAGTGCAGTTGAACTTTTTCATCCTCCTTCTGTCTGTATCATTGTTTTTCCATCCTCTTTTTGTATGTATCATTATTCTTCCATCCTCTTTCTGTATGTATCATTATTTTTCCATCCTCCTTCTGTCTGTATCATTATTTTTTCATCCTCCTTCTGTCTGTATCATTATTCATCCACCCACCTTCTGTATATATCATTGTTTTTCCACTCACCTTCTGTATATATCATTATTCTTCCATCCTCTTTCTGTCTGCATCATTATTCTTCCACTCACCTTCTGTCTGCATCATTATTCTTCCACTCATCTTCTGTATATATCATTATTCACAGAAGGTGAGTGGAAAAACAATGATATATACAGAAGGTGGGTGGATGAATAATGATACAGACAGAAAGAGGATGGAACAGACAGAAAGAGGATGGAAGAATAATGATATATTTATCATTATTCTTCCACTCACCTTCTGTATATATCATTATTTTTCCATCCTCCTTCTGTCTGTATCATTATTTTTCCATCCTCCTTCTGTCTGCATCATTATTCTTCCACTCACCTTCTGTATATATCATTGTTTTTCCATCCTCCATCCCTATTTTTGACATTTCTTGGTCCTAACAAAAACTCTCTAACCGGTAGCCAAGCGCTTTTTTTTTTTTACTGAGTGTCTCAACTACTGTTCTTTACTGGGTGTCTCAACTACTGTTCGTTACTGGGTGTCTCAACTACTGTTTTTTTATTGGGTGTCTTAACTACTTTTTATCTGGTGTATCAACTATTGTTTTTTACTGGGTGTCTCAACTACTGTTCGTTACTGGGTGTCTCAACTACTGTTTTTTTATTGGGTGTCTTAACTACTTTTTATCTGGTGTATCAACTATTGTTTTTTA